ACCCCGCCTGTCCTCACCTCCTGGGTCCTCCTTCCTGCCCTGGGGCCCTGGCTGAGCCTCCTCATCCTCATTCCAAGTCCCCAGTTCTGGCCGGGGCTCCCCAGTCCCTCGCTGGGAGGGAGCCCTGTTTGTGCTCTGGGTCTGGACCTGGACCTCTCTGCCCTTAGAACACGGCCCTGGACCTCCTGGACCGGGGACTGCAGGTCCACGTGGTGGTGGACGCCTGCTCTTCTCGCAGGTGAGAGGGTCTCTGTGGGGGTGGTCCTCCGTGTGTGCCAGGCCCCCCGCGGCATGGACGCCTGCCCGCTCTCCCCCTCTCTTTCCTGTAGCCAGGTGGACCGGCTGGTGGCACTGGCCCGCATGAGGCAGAGCGGAGCGTTCCTCTCCACCAGCGAATCGCTCATTCTGCAGCTTGTGAGGGACGCTGCCCACCCCCAGTTCAAGGAGGTATTGGGCCCTTTGGGCTTCTGTGAATAGAAGGCTCCCTCCTTTTTGATAAAGGGTCTCCTGTGTGCCACGTTGGCCTTGGACACGCTGTGTAGTCAGGGGTGACTTTAAACTTCTGTCCGTCGAATCTCTGCCTCCCAATGCTGGGATTACAGCCCCGCTGCGCCCGGCTGGCTTTCTCTCTCTCTCTCTCTCTCTCTCTCTCTCTCTCTCTCTCTCTCTCTCTCCCTCCCTCCCTCCCTCCCTCCCTTCCTCTCTCTCTCTCTCATTTAGAACTCTGTTCAGGGCTTTCTATATTATTTACATTTTAGTGTGTGTGTGTGTGTGTGTGTGTGTGTGTGTGTGTTTATGTGTGTGTCTGTCTGTGAGAGAGGGAGAGAGCGCCACAGCATACAGATGGAGGTCAGGTTCACCTTGAGGACGTCAGCTCTTGGCTTCACCCATGTTGGTTCCCAGGACAGAACGCAGGTCAGGCTTGAAGACAGGTGCCTCGTTCACTGGGCCACCTTGCCAGCCCTTTGTGTTTGTTTTGTTGTTTTTTTTTTAATTGTTTTTGTTTTCGTTTTGCCCCTTTGAGATAGTTGGCAGTTACAATTGCATTGTAAATTTGGTCTTTGCCTAATAAAGCTCCTGGTTGCCCTAGCTCAGCCTGAATATGTAGCCCAGGCTGACCTCAAACTCATGGCAATTTCCTGCCTCAGCCTTCTGAACACTAAGACTACAGCTCTGCACCATTATGCCTTACTGAGAAACATTGTTTCTTTGGGTTTCTGGAAAACACCCAGGTGCAAGTTTCAGCTCTGGGGAAAAAAAAAAAAAAAAGACAGGACTTACTATGTAACCATGGCTGATCTGGAACTCTAATTTATGATCAGACTGGCTTCAAATTCAGAGATAGGGCAGCCTCTGCCTCCCAAGTGCTAGGATTAAAGGCGTGCATTCGCCTCCATGCCTAGCCCAGGAACACTTCTTTTAAAACATTATTTTCCTTTGTGGATGCGGATGCTTTGCCCGTGTGTACGTCTTGTGTACCACATCTGTAGTGCCCAAAGAGTCCAGTCCAGGGCACGGGATCCTTGGACCTGGAGTTACAGAGAGTTGTGAGCGGCTGTGTGGATGGTGGGAACTGAGCCCAGGTCCTCTGCAAGAACAGAAAATGCTCTGAATGGCTGAGCCATCTCTCCAGCCCCCAGGAAAACTTTCCAGGAGAGTGGTTGGCTGGGGAAGGCTGCCAGGAGGACCAGGGAGATGGGCAGTTCTTGACTTCTGACCAGACCTCCTCTGCCTGCAGATCCAGAAGATCATCAAGGAGCCAGTCCCAGACAGCGGGCTGCTGGGCCTCTTCCAAGGCCAGAACCCCCTCTTGCTGGACTCCAGACCCTGACTTGAGATGGGAGCATCATTTCCCTCCTCTCTGAATCGCAAGAGTCCACCTGGAGGCCTGCCCTGTGGTGGGGGAGGGGTGCCCTGTGGTGGGGGAGGGGTGCCCTGTGATGGGGGAGGGGTGCTGTGCCTCCTGCTTAAAGAACTGGTCCTGGAAATGCTAATGAACTCTGAGTGCTGGAAGGGGTGTGGGCATGGGGTCGACTGAGGAGAGGTGGATGAGGGAGTCTGCTCAGGTTCCCCTCACGAGGTGGGAAACCAAAGGGCAAAGAAGTGTCACAGACTGGGACCCAGACTCCGAATAAACGTTGATGTGGCTGTGGACCAAACCATTATTGGGTTTGTGGGGTGTCACAGGGGCTACTGGGGTGTGCAGGTGGGAGAAGAGGATGAGATGAGGTGAGGAGAAGGGGGGTGCCTCTTCCCAGCCCCAAGCTGGGACTAGACACAGGCCACATCTGCACGGCAGGCCGCAGGTGCGTCTTGAAGTAGGAGTTTCTGACCGTCCCCATCTAGGTGGTACTCAGCCCACTCCCCTGGCTCGCCTCCACAACTCCTGCGTTCTGCAGGCCTGTGAGACCAAGTTCTGCCACCCTGAGAGGGAGCTGGGCCCCTGTTCCCACAGCTGCAGAGGCCTCTGACTGCCCACAGGACTAAACCTGGGGAAACATTCCCCTAAACAATGGAAAGAGCACCCGTTCAGCTTTACAGCATCATGCAGGCTTGCACCAGGTGCCAGAGAAGAGCCTGGAAGACCAGGCAGTGTGTGGCAGGGACAGATTTCCTCCATGGAGCCCTTGAATGGGCAACCCATGAAGCTATGAAGGAGAACCCTAGGTTGTAGTGGAGACACCAGGGTGTTGGAGATGTCCCTGAAGAGACAGATGTGCTGTTTTCTCAGAGGAAAGTCTCTCAGATGAGTTTGCCTTTTCATACCCTGGCTCCACTCTCAGCGGGTGAAATAAGGGTTACAGGAACACCAGCACTCTGACACTGGGCTGTCCTGATAACTGAGATGGTTCCTAAGTGATTAACAGGGGGGTAGCATATACAGCATGGACACACTAGATGAAGAATTTGTCTTCGAACAATGAGGAGTGGATGCATAAGATTTTGTCAGACTACTCAGAACGGCACGCGGATTAAAATGAGGGGTTTTCTGTGTGATATCTGAAGACCAAGAGTGACTCAACTAAACTAGGAACAGAGACCTCAGATTACATGGGGAGGGAGGGAGGAAATCTCTGGATTTCCTGGCACGTCTCAGACTCCACAGTCTCTCCCATGAACTAATTCTTCACAACCTCTAGTGAGAGGTAGCTGCGTCAGTGTGTCTGTCCCTGTCTATCTGCCGATGACTTTGTAGGACGATCAGTCCACTGACTGCGGGGTAGATACTTGATCCTGCTCATCCTTTTTCCGTTCCTCTGGAGAACCCTGATATAGGAAAGACACCCAGCTGGGATCACAGGTCACTGGTCAAGCCCCTTAGGACTGAGTCAGAAGGGTGTAGGTATTGCTTGCCTTGAAAACCGAGGACCACCGTGGATGCCATGGACATGTGACGCCCACAGAGAGGGTGTTCTCACGGAAGCAGCAGCTCTGCCCCACCCCGTATCCTGTGCCTTGGGGCCCTCAGTGTCCCTCCTTTGCGGGCATTTTCTCATTTGTTTGTGGACACCTCGCTCTCAGCTCCTCCAGGGACAATCTTGCTGGCAGCCGCATCCTCAGACTCTACACATACGTGTTCAGCACTTCTGTCGTTGTTGAATAACTGAATTAACCACCGTCCCCACTTCCCCACACCGTTGGGGGACTCAAGACAGGTGAGGGGAGACTGCTGAATGCCTGCCAGCCCTCAGCCCATGTTAGTGTGCTGGTCCTCAGACCACACAGCCAGCACCCAGCCTGAGCCATTCAGAGACACTGGCGCCCCCTCGTGGAGCATCCCCAAGCCACACGCTAGAGCGCTCGGGTCCTGCCTGCCTTGGTAGAGCAGGCGGATGCTGTGGGCTCCTGGGAGCCCAGGATGAAAGTCAGCGGCTGAGGCTGGGCTGGCAAGAGTACGCTGCCCTAGCCCAGCAGTGGCTCCCCCTGGCCAGCTCTGAGTCTGAGCCTGGATTCCAGCTCTCCAGACGTCTGCACTTCACTCCCTGCAGCTCCTCAGGGAGGAACCCCAGGCCTCCCTTTGGGGGCCCCCGGGAACTGGAGGACAGGACAGCAGCCCCACCCCACCCCAGGCCATCCCCCAAACCCAAGAATGCGTGTCTAGGACGAAGAGACACATGTCTGTATACTCAGAAAGGCAGGGCTTGCCCTGACCAGGACAGAAAGAGTAGATCGTATCTGTGAGGGACATTCAGACCCTCAGAGATGAGAGGGACACATGACAGCGCAGGCCTGCAA